ATGTCCTTCAATCGTTTTGACGCGAAAGAGGAACAAACACACATATACGTTCTCAATTTTTTTTATGGAATAAGCCAGTAACGGGTAAACGATTAGCCGGATCGATGGTAAGCAATCGGCGCCGCCCATGGACACCCGAAATACAGTGTCCTCCGTCTGTCCAGTACAGGGCGCTGAGTACTTTATGGTGTTGGGTAGTTACAAGTGCGTTACCGGCCTTTTGGGGATTAGGAATTTGAGGATTATTGGATTCAGGAATTGGGGGGATCAAGGAAGGGGGGTGGGGGGTGGGGCCTCCTTTAGCTTCACTCACATGACAAAACGCAACGCAAACGTCGTTTCTAATATTATTAGGATGAACTCACCGCGGCTAGTTCGGGCGCCGGGAACTCTGCGAAGTCGGCCTCCACACAGCGCCACGGGCGGTGCAGCAACAACTGCTGGCGGACCTCCGCCTGCAGGGACGCCAGGCGGGTCTATGGACGATACAAGCGAAACACGTGAATTTATTTCTGCTGATATTTACAAAATCAAAGTCAAAATCATTTATATCAATCACTTTTGAACATCAAACCGAAATATAGAAATATTGAAAAAAAATGTCAGTCTCGGTCAGTCTTTTTTTTAAACGTTGCCTCCATACATTAGCATTTTCTCCTGTGTCGTGGGTGCATTTACAAACATACAAGTTCACATACACATGACACCCAGACCAAAAACAAAAATTTGTGGATCACACAAAGTGTTGTTCCGTGCGGGAATCGAACCCGACGCGTTACACGGCAGCCCGTTGCCCAGTCACCGCATCAACAGTGCTACTACTGAGAATTAAAAAAATCCCAATAATTCTTTACCCGGCCCGGGAATCGAACCCGAGACCTCGAGACCCGGCACTCGTACTTGCCAACTCGACTGACGTCGCAGTCTGTATTATAAAATTTAAAACAAATAATCCCAAAAACAAAAATATCTTTCAGACAATTATCGCTCCCAGCGCCCTCTACCCACCGCGAAAACACCAACATACCTCGAGTTGCCTCCTAATCTCCCTCTGTTTGTCCTTGTGCAGCTGCAGCGCGTGTGCATACTGGCCAGGCTCCGACGGGAACTTCACCAGTCCTGACCGAGCCACGAACATCGTCCATTCCTGGGGATTAACGCAAAATATTATAAATATAGCAATAACAAAAAAATCTCTCTCTAGACTCCTGGCCGTAGCTTGGAATACTCCCGTCACTGGTATGTTATTACTTTTTTATATTTTTTTAATGTTTCTTTTACAGTAACTTACGCCAGATCCCTCTCAAGTTGTGCCGCAACCTATGTCCTCAGTAGCGGAGAAGATGGGGTGCTATACTTTTACTGTCCTTTAGTCCTAGCTGTCCTTTAGTCCTACTGTCCTTTTGTCCTACTATAGTGTGTAATTAACTCTCATCTCTAATTTAGCCAGATCCCTCTCAAGTTGTGACGCAGCCTCTCTTCTAAAGGCGGTAGAGGGCGATACTGGATGCTCCACTTCACTGTCCTGAAGATTTACTGTTCTATTGTCCTACTGTCCTCTTTTCCTGTTGTTCTTTAGTTCTATTGTCCTGCTGTCATATTTTCATCTTATGAACATCCTATAAATGCCTACTGCTGAGCATAGCCTCTTCTCACACAGAGAAGGTTTGAGCATTAATCACCACGCTTGCTCAATGCGGGCTGGTAATTACAAACTTATAATTAGAAATAATAAGCCCAGGTTTCCTCACGATGTTTTCCTTCACCGTTTGTCAGTGCTCTCTAAACAATCAGTCACATTAGTACTTGCCGTTGGCAGGTTTCGAACCTGCACCCTCATGCATGAGAACCGGGCGTCTTAAACCTCCAGGCCACCATAACATGTTTTCCTACTGTCCTTTAACTCTAATGTTCTATAGATCTATTATCCTTTGGTTTTACTGTCATTTAGTTTGATTGTCCTTTTATCCTATTATAGGGTGTACTGACCGTCTGTAATTTAGCCAGATATCTCTCTCAAGTTGTGCCGCGGACGTAGAAGCCATTCCAGCGGCGGCGGGAGACGCAGGGTGCTTTAGTTCAATTGTCTTGTAGTTCTACTTTTGTCTGACTGTGGTGTGTACTTACCGGCTGTAACTTAGCCAGATCCCTCTCAAGTTGTGCCGCGGCCTGTCTCCTAGCGGCAGCGGCGGGGGAGGCGGGGCGGCAGCGGAAAACGCGGGGTGCTCCAGTGGCCACAGAGCTATTGTTTCACTGTCCTATAGTTCACTATAGTTCACTGTTCTATCGCCCTACTGTCCTTTAGCTGTACTGCTACGCGTCCGTCCGCTAGCGGTGGAAGCGGCGAAGTCCACTGTAAGACTACAGGGCGGGCTATCCGCGGTGTACCCCTGGAGATTCGGCCCAAATGACATTGCTATGTCGGTGGGGCCATGGGAGGTGGAGGGATTGTCCTTTAGCTGTAATGTCCTATAGTTCTACTGTCCTCTTTTCCCACTGTCCTTTTGACCTATTATAGTGTGTACTTACCGTCTGTAACTTAGCCAGATCCCGCTCAAGTTGTGCCGCGGCCTGTCTCCTAGCGGCGGCGGCGGGGGAGGCAGGGTGCTCCAATGGCCGCAGAGCTCGTAACGCGGCGCGCTCTGCTTTACGACACGCTGAGACTCGGGCGGCGCGCTCGCGTTCCACTGTCCTGTTTTGTACGGATAATTTTGTTTGAGAGATGTTAAACTGTTCGTTTGTTATTCTACACATCGAACGATTTAACTATACAGTTAAATAACCAAATAATCATTATGTTTTTGGTTTACCCACGTAACTATTTGACGAGGAACTCGACTAGTCCGACAATGTGACAATGTGTCGCGGAATGCTGTTCATGAATATGAGCCTCTAGCTGAGCTTGAAGCTAGTCTAGTTCCTCGTCAAACAGTTACGTGAGTAAGCCCAAAACATAATACTAATATTATAAAGCTGAAGAGTTTGTATTTTTGTTTGTTTGTTTGTTTGTTTGTTTGTTTGTTTGTTTGTTTGAACGCGCTAATCTCCGAAACTACTGATTCGAATTGAATAATTCGTTTTGTGTTGGATAGCGCATTTATCGAGGAAGGCTATAGGCTATAAAACATCTCGCTACGACCGATAGGAGCCGACCAGAGTGGGTGAAACCGCGCACAAGTATCTAGTAATTAATACACCGTTAAAACTGATGGTGTTGTAACCTGCGTAACATTTACCAGTTTTGAAGTTGAACAAACTATAGATATAGTTTAGTCAGCCGTAAGGTGTAAAATACATTGGGTGCCACGTTTGCTCTTCCCGCGGATGCCGTAACCGACTAATGCCGGAATACTGAAACGTTACTCAATTTTAAGTCGTGCTTAAATATCGTGCCATCTCTGTCATTATACAAAGAATTTGTAGAGACAGAACTATACTTGAGCACGACTTAAAATTGAGTAGCGTTTGAGTATTCCGACATAAGAGACTACATAATTAACATAACGATCAGCAATCATTATTATCAACAGCCTATATGTCCCCAATCCCCGAATCCCCCACAATCCTCAAAATCCTAATTCCCAAAAGGACGGTAAAGCACTTGTAACGCCTCTGGTTTTTCAGGCGTCCATGGGCGACGCCGATTGCTTACCATCAGGTGATCCGTCTGCACGTTTACCGGCTTATTCCATAAAAGAAAGTGGCAACTGCTGTCTAAAATACGTCTTCTTTGATTGTCTACAAAACCACATAAAGATATGACAATACTTACCAGCTCAGAACCTTGATCTGATGCTGCAGAGCTTCATTGACCTCTCCTGCCGCGATGCCAGCGGTCACCTTCACCGGCGTCTCCTCTGTATTACAAACTGTATATTAGGGAATATTCTAGAAGATAAGGTGATGAATGCGATGTGATGGAAGATCGACCTATCTATATATATAAAATTCAAAGGTGATTGACTGACTGACTGATTGACTGACTGACATAGTGATCTATCAACGCACAGCCCAAACCGCTGGACAGATTGGGCTAAAATTTGGCATACAGATAGATGTTATGACGTAGGCATTCGCTAAGAAAGGATTTTGATAATTTCCACCCCCAAGGGGGTAAAAAAGGGGATGAAAGTTTGTATGAAACTTTGTCAGTTTTTAACTGATCGGGTTGAAATTTGGCATGCAGATAGATGTTATGACGTAAGCATCCGCTGTGAAAGGATTTTGATAATTTCCACCCCCAAGGGGGTAAAAAAGGGGATGAAAGTTTGTATGAGACTTTGTCAGTTTTAAACCGATCGGGTTGTAATTTGGCATGCAGATAGATGTTACGACGTAGGCGTCCGCTGTGAAAGGATTTTGATAATTTCCACCCCCAAGTGGGTAAAATAGGGGATGAAAGTTTATATGAGCCTTTGTCAGTTTTAAACCGATCAGGTTGAAATTTGGCATGCAGATAGATGTTATGACGTAAGCATCCGCTTTGAAAGGATTTTGATAATTTCCACCAAGGGGGTAAAATAGGGGATGAACGTTTGTGTGAGGCTTTGTCAGTTTTACACCGATCGGGTTGAAATTCGGCGTGCAGATGGATATTATGACGTAAACGTCCCTTTAGAAAGGTTTTTGAACATTCTCACCCCAAAGTATGATACTTTGCCAGTTTTAAATTGATCGGGCTGAGACTTTGCATGCATAAAGTTACTATGACATAGGTATCTCTTTAGAAAGGATTTTGATAAATTCCACCCCTAAGGGGATAAAATAGGGAATGAGAGTTTGTATAAATCTTCTTAGCCGTTGAATTTAGAATCATTGAATCTTTTTGAATTACATTCGGTAAAACGATGATTTGGGACCTGGGTAACGTATGATAGTTTTTTCACAGATGTCTCACGAGAACGGGAACTATGCGTCAATGCCCCAGGACTCTCTAACTCTTAACCACTGAACTTATTCTAGAGAGATTCGGTACAACAATAGTCGATAGAATAGTTTTTATTACTCAAACCTTACGTGATCGGGCACTGTACTGGTAAGATCCCTGCGGGATTATTTATTTATTGAAACTACGATAAATCATTTCAAAATAGGTAAATCTTACTTGGGCACTGAATTGATTCTGGTTAATTCTGTCAGAAGTCATTAATCTACGGGGACGAAGTCGCGGGCAACAGCTATCTACACATATAATGAATCGTAGAAAAGTCAAAACTGTACATTGAATATTTTTTAAAAGAATATTTGAAGCGTGATCTCTAATCGATACCGAAGCCAATAATGTGGTTTTTAGAATTTTTGTCTGTTTGTCTGTTTGTATGGCCGTGATGATCTCAAAAAGTACTGCACTACTATTTCAAATTTTGCATGAATATTACTAACAAGTCTGGTAAACATATAGGCTACATATTATCACGCTATCATCTACAGGACTGAATCAATTCTGACGACATCCATTACCGTAGAATATCCCTTGATAAAAACTAATTCAAAAGCCTAAATTCTGCCAGAAGTCATTATTCTACGCGGACGAAGTCGCGGGCAACAGCTAGTTTTTTATAAACTATGTTAAAAAATCCCAACTTCAACCCCCTCTATTTTTGAAGTTGGTTCATTAATATATTAAAACCCTTCCTTTTTTTTAAGGGGGGAAAAATCATCGAATTCTTCTCCCGCCTGGATGAGGCGGGAGGGAGTGTCAGACTCTTACTGACTAAAAACCAACCCGTTCCTTCTTCTGCACGTCGAGCCGGAGCCCCGGCAACCCGCTAGGTTCTCCGCGACTCCGAATCGGCATCGGCCCTAAGTAAAACCTTCCCCTAAGTGTTTACAAACAAACAGTTTTTTGAAAACCGCATCAAAATCGGTTCAGCCAATCGCGAGATGTTTGCACATAAACATATAGAACAATCTGAGATCCTCCTCTTTTGAAATTGAATATTTTGAGAATCTTATGCAAATAATAATGTGCTAAGATTTATTGATTTTGAGGAAAAAAGCACTACTTTTTAATAAGTAATGTTACCTGACACATGAATAGAAAATATACCAAATTATCTATCAGATAAACTGATTCAAAATTATTCTGCTGCTCTCATTGGTTGGTTCACTAGAGCCGGCCAATCAGAGCGCCGAACGCGCTCGATGCTCTTACGTTACGAATGCGATAGTTATTCGCGCTTAGCACTCAGCTATTCATGTCCTTGGGACGCGCCGGACTTCAGTGTTCCGGTTTTTGTATGGTTGTATCTACTGTAGATCCTGGCACATAGGAGATGCAGCGGTTTTGGGAGGTTGAAACAGGCTTGTCGCATAAAAAATCAAAATCTCATGAAAATGATACTTAACACAAATTATTCAATACAGGTCGATCTTCCATTATAGAAATGTATGGTTTTGATACACTGATCAGCATTCATGTAGTAATAGTTGTATGAAAAGCTAGAGTTTGGTCAATTGTTATTAAAATTAAAATAAAGCTAAGGCCCATTGAGTAGATTTGTCGTTGCGCTACTTTTATATTTTGCGCAAAATAATATGATGGTTGCGCAACGTGAAGTATAGTTGCGCATATGTTGCGCACCGTAAAGTGTATGTTATTATGATAATGTATGTAATGAGAGTTTTTAAGTTTGCAATTTAATATAGCTTTATTGATATCAAATAGAAAATATAGTTACAAGAGTACGTCGCTACTTAACCTCTCGCGCGTTTCTTGTACACACGGGTATACGAGAGAGTTGAGTGCCCATCGCCGCAACTTTACACACGGGTGTACGAGAGTGACTTACATCGATTGGAAACTTTTTCTGTGATGTATATTTTCAAGTTGCAACCCGTTCTTTATTTGATTGAACATAATAGTTCATTCGCTTTCTATTTAACCCGTGTACGAGATGCGCGAGAAGTTAAAGTAGAATTGCGTAACATTTTATTCTATTCCGTACTTTAAACTTAAGACGAAAGATATCCATACAATATCAAGTTGCACATCCATTACCAGTATTCTGAACCAGAAAGGAAATGTTGCGCAACAAGAAATTTCAGTTGCGCAACATTCAAAACACTGTTATAAAACTTTAAAACACATAAAAATGTTAAATAAAAGTTGCGCAACGCATTCGACTCATGTACCTATAAAAAAATGAGACAACATCCATACACGATCATGCAAGAACCATTATAGACGACAAAATAATTAATAAAAATTAAAAAAAAGAAACAATTAGTCACATTTAAGTAATTGTCAAAGCATGATAACGCATTCCCTTTACATAAAAACAAATACATTTTCAAAATATTCTTGAATCTGAATCTTTTGTTAGTTCAGTTACATTTTTTGGTTTTTGTTAAAGTTATTAGAAGATAAAAAAGAATTTATATTTTTGCCTAACCCGGGAATTGGATGATAAATTATCTTACATACATATATACAATCGCGGCATTTTATCCCCGAAGGGGTGGGCAGAGGTTCACATTACGGCACTTAATGCCACTGTACAATGTAACACCCACTTTTCACTCTTTATGTTACGAGTCCCATGTAATAGGGGGTGAGCCTACTGCCATATACCGGGCACGATTCCAGTCTCCGTGCTACTACTGGGATTTTTTTAAAACCCAGTAATACGTTGCCCGACCCGGGAATCGAACCCGAGACTACTTACCTGGCAGTCGCACCTGCGACCACTTGACCAACAAGGCAGTCCAATACAGGTCGATCTATTATCCTTTTCAGTACCTATATAGATCTTATCTTATAATAACATATGTATGCAAGATATTAATGAATGACAGAATTCGTGCTATTACTGACAACTTTGACATTAATATGAAATAGAAATAAAGTTATTCAAGTCAATTTATCACCGAAATTAATAATCGATTTTAAGTAATCCAAAATCTCTTGACCTTGACCAAAAGTTCGCTCTTTCATAAGACATTCCGTACAACTTATTATCAAAATGTCACCATTTCCGAGTTATATGTACTTTCTAAGATTATCTAGACACCACTGACAAACGATGAAAGGAAACATCGTGAGGAAACCTGGGCTTACAATTTGTAATTAAACGTTTGAAATCGCCAACCCGCATTGAGCAAGCGTGGTGTTTAATTGTCAAACCTACTCCGTGTGAGAAGAAGCCTTTAGTCAGCAGTGGCCACTTATAGGCTGTTGATGTAATAGTTAATACTAAACATCGGTCTCAAATCAATCAAAGATTATTGTCCGAGCTTGATTTTTGTCTATAACTTAGATCAATCAAGAGATTTCAGATTAAAATTAGATCATTATTTCGGCAATAGTGTTAAGAAAATTAATAATGACAATTGCGTCATGAATCTAGATTCAGACTCAAAAATATGAGACCTAACACTAATACATAAACTATAAATAAAAAAAAATACGTATATAAACACTATATTAATTACTATGTTTTTCGACATACGTAACTGTTTGACGACGAATTTGACTATACTCGGAATTTTAATTCGATTCCAGATTTGACAATATCAGTGTTGCAACGTTATGACAAGTACTAAATAGTGACGTTGCGAAATTATTCGATATGGAAATCGAATATTTCCGGGACAATTCTTCTCGTTTATAATTTTACTCTAGTAAACTAAGTATATCAGGAAATTAAATATTTCTGAAGCGATAATTTATTTTATTAACCGATAATTTAATTCAGTTTATTATATATTTTTATTATTATTTTTTTATAAAATAGAGCAGCGATTACTAATTAATAAATAATTATGTATTTATTTAAATAAATATCAATAATTTAGTCTTTAACTCGTCGAGTACCGTCACTATAGACACAATTATAGAACAATAGGTTGCGGTCACCGGTGACCGCTTGGTGTTTGACAGTTTAATTGGTACACTGATGGCACACACACTGATTGTTTATCGTGTGGTATATTTGGTATCATTATTTCACAAAATGACAGTAGCTAAATCAAAGTGTCAAAAATCAGTGTCAAATCTGGAATCGAATTAAAATTCTGACTTTAGTTTCAAGCCATGCTGTTTTTTTTTTGAGGGGGTAAAATCATTCAATCCCGCCTTAGGTTAGGCGAGAGGGAGAGTCAGACTCTTACTGACTGACTAAAAACCACCCCGTTCCTTCTCCTGCACGTCGAGCCGGAGCCCCGGTAACCCATTAGGCCTTCACAAGCCATACTAGAGGGTCATTTATAAGCAGCATTCCGTGACATATGACGCGGCGACTGTAGGTGAACTAGTCGAGTTCCTCGTCAAATAATTACGTGAGTAAGCCGAAAAACATAATAATAGGGTAGTTTCCTAAATTTTATTTTAATGTCCGTCTGGTACGTTAATTTAAAACTTTAGACACGTATATATTTTTTCTCACAAAATTAAATACTTTCGACAATATATTAATTTGAAATATCGTGTGACGTCACAGCGTGCCACATTTTGTAGCACGTTATGACGTAACGAACTCCCACTGCTAAACTTAGCGCCATTTTATCTAAGTATTGCAACTTAATACGAGAAAATAAAAAACTACGTGTCTAATATTTTTCCATTGTGTAACTGACGGACTAATTAGATTTTTAAATTTGATACCCTGGAAACTACCTAATTAATTTAGTATCTCTAACGAAATATAAAATACAAGTACTATAATTTAAAAAATATATATAAGCGCATGCTATTGTACATATAGCTTACGCATAATCTCTTTTGGAGCTGCAACCGGCGTAGGTAAAGCTAAAAATTTTGGTATCAATTAAAAATTTTGAAAAACAAAATATATTGCCAATTTTAACTTTTAAACAAATAGAAATATTATTTAACAACATTTTAGTTTACACCAGCCTATAAGGGACACCTTGTTAGGTATCACTTTACTGTTGTACCGGTAAAGGGTTAGTTTAGGTGTTACGGCACGGTAAGTAACCCTTAGTTCAGATACGGTTCAGTGGTATATACGACCATTATCTATCAGGCTCTTCAATTATAATAAATTATGTTTTGTACACACAAACGCCATGTAGATGGCGCTGCATACGTTTTAAGTCTACCAAGTGTTCTAGCTAACTAGAGTAATATATTAAAATATTAAATTGTTGTATTTTGCAAAGGGAATGCATGCATGGAATCGAAGCTGTTATCTTACTGGAGTACTCTCGGACTGGCGGCGGCGTCAGCGCTGAACCACACAAAAATATGTTATATAACTTCACGCCTTTGAATTTGGTTGGGGGGTAGGCAGGGGTAGTTTTACTTATATTATAGTTATGTACTTACTTACTACGCATCATACGTAATAATACTGCCACAATAATACTATACATAAATCATTTTAAAAAATGCCATGCTTCAGCACTAATTGGTCGGCTCGACCGGAGTGATACCACGGCCGAGCAGAAAACCGACGTGAAACAACGCTTGCGTTGTACTTTGTCGTGTTAATGAGGTTACCAGACGCCCAATCACGCCCCTCTTCTACCCCCAATCTTCGAATCTCCAACAACCCTCAAACCCCTAATCCCCAAAAGGCCGGTAACACACTTCTAACGCCTCTGGTGTTCCAGGTGTCTATGAGCGACGCCGATTGCTTACCATCAGGTGATCCGTCTGCTCGTTTACTGACTTATCCCATAAAAACAATAAAAATAATCGTGCGTCCACACCTTTAGAATGGGCTGTTCATTATACATGCACACAAACCACGAGATGTGGACTTTCCTAATTTTTCAATGTCCGTCTGGTAGATTATTTTAAAACATTAGACACGTATTTTTTCTTTTCTCACTTTCGACGGTATATTGATTTGAAATATCGTGTGACGTCACAGCGTGCTACATTTTATAGGGTAGCGTGACGTAACGGAGTTTAGGAGTGTAAACTTAACTCATACTAATACAATTTATATAACTATAACTAAATTTAATGTTCGAATAATTCCGTACTTATATAATTAGTAATTGTGGTGGCCCGGAGGTTTAAGACGCCCACTTCTCATGCATGAGGGTGCGGGTTCGAAACCTACCAACGGCAAGTACCAATGTGACTTTTTCCGAGTTATATGTACTTTCTGAGATTATTTAGACACCACTGACAAACGGTGAAGGAAAAACATCGTGAGGAAACCTGGACTTATAATTTCTAATTATAAGTTTGAAATCGCCAACCCGCATTGATCAAGCGTGGTGATTAATGCTCAAACCTTCTCCGTGTGAGAAGAGGCTTTGCTCAGCAGTGGGCATTTATAGGCTGTTGATGATATAATTAGTAATTGACATCCTAATGTATTTTTTTCTTTTTGTGATAGATATGCACCCATGGAATCATTTGTTATTTTCCTAAATGTTTGTTTACCGTTTTTCTTTTTTGCATGTGGTGTTAATCTATAATTAATTGTTGCACTTGTAAATGTTTCTTTATCTATTTAATCAGCAATGTAAACAATTGTTGGTTAACCAAAATAAATAAATAAAACACTACGATTTATCTAAGTATTGTTTACTTATACGACAGAATAAAAAAAACGTGTCTAATATTTTATCATTATCTAACTGATGGACTAATTACATTTTTAATTTTCATACCCTGTCAAATAAGCAATTGTAAAATATAATACAAAAATACACATTCGGTTAATGAACTCGTAAAAACATTCAGTTATTGTGTTTTAGGAAACAATTGCAATCAAAGCATTATTATTATTATTATATTTTGAAAATAGTTGTGAATGGAATAGACAAGGCACTCTATAATAAACTTCATTATTTTAAACTGTAAAATGTATGGTTACTATGACAAACCCTCTTATTTTTTTATGGATTATAAGTCTCATTTTTAACTATGAGAGTATTCCATTCACATCTAGCGACCAATCGACAACAAAATTCACTGGACTTACTCAAAAACGCCAAGTCTAAAATGAAAAAGTATATTTTTCTTAATAACATAACATAATCATGCCTTTTATCCCCGACAGGTAGGCAGAGGTGCATTTTCCCTATTTATGTTATGAGTCCCATGTAAAAGAGGGTAAGTCTATTGTCGTGGTACTACTGAGAATTATTTATTTATTTCTTCTTCACAAAACACAACAGTGAATGGCGGACTTAATGCCTTAAGGTATTCTCTTACAGTCAACCATAGGGAAGTGCAGAATTATATTTAAAAAACCCAATGATACTTTATCAAACCCGGGAATCGAACCCGAGACTCCTTGCCCGACAGTTGCATTAGCGACCACTCGGCCAACGAGGCAGTCTGTATATATTCTTAATATTTAATTACAACAATTTAAGACAATATGTTACTTATAGTTTCATTATCCTGTTCTTTGATCATAGTAGCTTTTAAAGACGACTAAGCCACAAAACGACGCCTTGAAGTAAGCAAATATTTTATATAAATAAAACGAACTACTCCTAAAATCCTCCCAGTAATGACAATACTATAATTAATAAAGTTTCAAGTGTGGGAGAGCCATGCTTCGGCACGAATGGGCCGACTCGACCGGAGTGATACCACGGCCGAGCAGAAAACCGACGTAAAACGACGCTTGCGTTGTGTTTCGTCGTGTGAGTGAGGTTACCGAAGGCCCAATCCCCCCTCTC